TATGGTACAATCTAAGTTCTAAAGGACCAGGCATCTTGAAAAACTGAAAAGCATAACATGTGTTATAAGCTAGCAGGGAAGTATGCTTCCTGGCATGTAGTGAACCTTTGAAAAATATTTGTTGAGTGAAGGGAAGGACAAGAACAGTGGAAGGCAGTAGCAATAGAAGGTCACATCAAAAATGAGAGTCAGCAGGCCAGAGAAACAAGAAAGCCAGCTGCAGAAGCCACCTGAGAGAATCATTGCCAGGAGGCTGTCCATGGACAGTGATATTGGGTCTATGCCATGTGTTTTATGCAATTCATTTTTTTTTGCTTCTATGGCAACATCACAGTCTGGGTAATTTATAAAGAACAGACATTTGGTATATAATTGTAGAGCCTGTGAAGCCCAAGACCAAGGGGCTGTCATCTGGTGAGGCCCCGTGGTAGAGGGCAGAGGGCAGAGGAGAGTTCATGTGGAGGGCAGCGAAGGTTCCAATCAGCCTTTTATCAGGGAGCCACTGCAGTATTAAGTAACCAGTTCACCACTTAATCATGGAGCCCTCATGATTCAATTAGAGCTTAAATGTCCCACCCGTCAACTTTTTCACTGAAGGTTGTTCCTAACATACGGACTTCTGGGAGCATGTGAACACCATGGCACTGTAGTAGCCAGACGTTCATGCCATCTGCAGATTTTCACTGCCTTATTTCCACTCAAGCCTCTATACGCATGATGTCAATGTTCATTCATAGATGTTCATAATAACAAGGATAACGAGAATAGCAAGGAAATTCAGTGGTATCTTTTTAAAAATAATGTAGTTATTTGTTCATTAGTCCACTCTTGGTGCATATTTGCATTGCAGATCAGGCAACAGAGCAATTATAGCTCTAGAAAGAATTGCATCCTGCAGCTAAATAATTTCCTTAGTTTGGCAGCACAAACTATGCCTATGTTCTTGTCATCGACTTAGAACATTGGTCTGTACTCAAGAACTCAGAAAAGAAACTTTGTTCACATGAATAGTGGAATCTTTTGCATATGTCCAATTTGTCTGAATTTAATCATTGCCATAAAGGAAATAAAGGTCAGTGTAGCACAATGCACAAGCAATCAACACATAGGTGCACATAGGCAGTCCGGCTATAACGTGTTAAATACTTCTGCAAAGTAGTATTTCAGAAATATGTACTAAGTGACAAAATTTCTAAGACAAACAGAGAATGAGCCACAGATCTAACAAAAATGATTTTGTACTTGGAAAAACTCCCCTGCAAGGGGAGGTTGGCACATTAACCCACTTCCCCTTGCAGGAAAGGCATTTATAACTCTCACAAGTGTTAAGCTCAGAGAACTAAAAATAGAGTAGTGGTTACTAGGGCCTGGGACCTACGGAGCAAAGCAGAAGGACTTGGGAGATGTTGGTCAGTTCTATATTAGAAAGCAAGAATATGTTTTTGAGAACTATTAAAATGGAAAGATTATCATTATTAATAACATATAGTTCCAAATTGTTACATATAAATTTCAAATGTCTCACCATGGAAAAGGCATGGGGAACTGCCCCATGGTGGATATGTGATTACTTGAGTTATTCACCCCATATTGTATGCTGATCATGAAACATTCTATGCTACTTCATAAATATTTACAATTCTATAAATAAAGTTTAAAAATATGAATTGCAAAAGTACACGTTCATTTACTAACACACACACACACACACGCACGCACACACACCAAAAAATCCTGAGAAATGGTAAAGATTGTGTGCTAGCAACACTTCTTTCTCCTGGAGCAGGACAGGTGAGAGGTAGGTGGTGCAGGAGGAGGGCAGCGTGCTGGGCTGCTCTGAGAGGTCTTTGGGGGCAGCACAGCACCTGCAAGGCTGTCTGCGCTCTCCCGGGAAGCATCTGTGTACAGTGCTGACATAAATTTTCTTTGGTTAAAGCTAAAAGCCATCTTTTACCAGTGGAAACCTCAAAGCCAAAAGCCAAAAGCACTTTTCTTTCCTGCTGAAAGTTCTGTTCCTATTCCTACTACGCCCCTCCTCTTGCCTGGGAAAAATCATGTCTAAATTATGCTTACATCATTGCCCTGTTGACCGATAGCTTATGAGCCAAGTTGCAGTAAAGAAGTGTACATGTTGGCTGAACAGACTGCAGATTATAGTAGCTGTGTCTGACTATAAATGTAGTCGACTTTCTAAGGAATTTGGCAAATATAAAAAGGTATACAATAAAATCAGTATCAATTCATGGAAAATAACAACTGTTAAGAAAAGACTATGATGTATTTTCTTCTGACATTTTATCTATATGTATCATAAAATCAAGTTATACTGTGGAAGCAAATTTGTGTCCTTTGTACTAATTTAGTAATGTATTCTGAATATATTTCTATTAAAAAATAGAAACACATTTTTTTGTTTCGGTTTAGCTTTGTAAAATTAATTTTATTGGTACAACTGAGATATACAAAGTGATCACATTCACCAAAGGGAGTTTGTGCCTGCACATGAGATATTTTTTTTCACAATCCCATCTTCTCCCTTTTCCTCTCCTTATTTACAGAATCTTTGTTTCCATTTCTTCCTTCTGTTCTTTTTAAAAACATTTTCCCTTCCTTCTTTTCCTTCTCCTTCATCCCTGGGTCCCCTTCACCCTGGAATGCTTTCTTCCTGTTTCCTGGGAGCTATTGCACATTTTGCTCCTCATTCATCTTTTCAGCTTCTCATATCAGAGAAACAATCCACTGGGTGAACATGTATCTCATATTTATTTCATTTAAGAGCATAGACTTTTCTTTCACCATTTTTGTTTCTTTTCTCTTCTTTCCTTTCCTTCCCCGCTCCCTAGTTCCCATTTCTTTTAAACAGTTTCTTCCTATTTTACAATATTTTTATGCACATAGGTCCTGATTTACACATTTGGTATTTAACACCTCAAAACATCATGCCACAGGGATAGATGCGCACCTATGCTTATAGTAGCACAGTTTGTAATAGCTGAATCTTGGAAACAGCCCAAATGCTCTCATCAACTGAGGAATGGATAAAAAACGATGTGTATTTTTTATGCAGTGGAGCCAACTCAGCCGTAAAGAAAGATAAGCTTGAGACATTTCCAGGTAAATGGATGCACCTTGAGACCACACTCTCAAGTGGAATAAACCAGACACACGTGTACATATCACATTGATTATCTGGCGTGAGCTACTGAATATGTAATTAAAGACTAGTGTATAAAAGATATTTCAAAATAAGAAGAAATTGTGCAAAATTTTTGAACAATACTTTATTTAATAAGAACTATACTTTTAGATGAGGTTATTTTAAACTGTGGTAATAAAAAATTGTATATGAATGATAATGTTGTCAGTTAATTCCTTAGATTGAGAGGTTAAGATTATTTGGTCAGTGAGTTTTGATGCCCATTTAAAAATTATGTGATATTAAACTTTCAATTCTTGTATTTTTTTTAAACATAAGGACCTTAATATGAAAAATTAGCCAATATTAAATTTCATATTGTGGCTATTCTTTACTGCAGATGTCATTTATTAAAATGATGACTAACAGCATTTTTGATCATAGTTATAAGCATTGGTTTTGTAAATAGCCCACATTCTTCTTCCTTTTTTTGGTATTTTTTTAAGGGAAGGGTCTACAGTGTGTGCAGGGTCTCACTACTAGATTGGACTCAGTGATCTACCTGTTGATAGCCTCCCAAGATCTGGGATTACAGGAGCACACCACCATGCCCATTCTCAATTGCAGTCTCAGTGTACCCTGAGAGCGGGGCTGGCATGGCAGGTCCGGGGATTGAACCCCTAGACCCTGCACCTGCTTGCAAGCACTTTAATCTGCTGAGCTATTTGGCTGGCCCTCATAGCTCACATTCTTGATAATCAATAGGTTTGCTACATGGTGTATCTCTATCATGTAAATGAGATAAAACAAGTGTCTCGGTTACTCTTCTCTTGTTGCTGGGACAAATATCCAACATTCAAAATGCAGGAAGGAAAGGTTTATTTAGCTCACAGTTACTGGAAGTTTCAGCTGGCTCCAAGGCACAGCAGCACGTGGCTGAGAGCAACCTTTCATGGCAGCGGCAAAGAGCAGAGAGAGCAAAGGGAGTGGCAGCAGCTCAGGCACCCCATGACTACATGAGGCTTTGGGGGACACATATGCACAAACCATAACACCAAGTAACAAAAAGCTCATCATTACCATCTTTTCATCTCAAATCTAATCCTCCTATGTGAATTTGTTCTCCAGTTCTTCACCTTTCTTATTCTTTGTCTAGTGATCATGCTGGGTACTGATTCCACTTTAATCTATAAATCCCTCATTAGTTAACTTGTGATAGAAAAAATTCCTGTAAGACTTCTGAAGCAATTTGAGTGAGGAGAGGAAGTGTAGAACTTTGGGTTTCATCCTTCTAATTCTGATATTCTTTTTGTATAAATATGTTCAGAATGGTTGAGCATAAGCTTGAAAGTAGAGAACATCTTATTTGACCCTGGCTTTGCCCTTTTGGACAACAAATTCTTGTGGCCAGGAGCTCACAGTGGCTGTGATATCTACTATGAAAGCAGGAGCAACTGAGTCTAGGCAAATAATTGATACTGATTGGAAGATAACATACAGCTCAGAATTGCTTTGAGAGGAATGTAAAGACAGAACTGGCTTGGGTCACATCCCAAATGGAATGAATCACAGTAGATACAGAAGATCTAGGAGGTTTTTTTTTTCACTGCAGTTTCTAAGTGAATGCAAGTTCTGAAAAAAAAAAATGCTTTTGTTAAACGCTTTGTATATTTATGGGGAAGTACTAGTCAGCCCAACATAGCAGGTAGATGTGTGTGCTAAGGTGCTATCCTTGACCATTAAATATGTGCCATAGAAGTCCTCATTGAAGTAAAATAAAAGAGGCTACTTCCATGACTCTGGGTTTTCTCTTCTTAAATTATTAACAGTGATGTGAGAGATGATCTTCTTCCTCTCTTTTCAGCCATCCTACGTCCCAAGGAAGCTAATCCCAGTAACTATCATCAAGCAAGGTATTCGGTTTACTCAGGATATGTATGAAAAATTTTAATATACTTTTCAACTGAGATAATGGAAGATAGTACCTACTCTCCCAATTTTTGTGAATGCTGTTTTCCAGAAAATGTGCAAAGACACTATTATGGGCTAGTAAATTAGCAGTTAATAGATGTTTTTGACTCTTGTACAAATAGGCAAAATTTTGGGCAAGTGACTGGACAACTCTGGACAAAATAGCTATAATATGCATTAAATTTATAAAGTCTAAAATATGGAAATGTTGCTCAGGATTAAGTTAGTATACTTGCAAAAAATTATGTAATATTTGCCTTAAGAGATTGAAAATAAAAACTGATTAGTGGACATTTTAGAATCATAAATATATCCAGGTTTCAAGACTTACAGTGTCTTATTTCATTTCAGTATCTAGTTGTTTTTTGCTTTATCTTTCAGTTTTTTAATTTATTAAAGGGAGTCCACTATTTTTTAGAAAGTTTCCTTATGGAAGAAATAAGAGCTTCAAATAGTTCTTCATTTTAAGAAAACTCAATGTTCTAATTGTTTTTTCAAAACAGGATCACTTAGTATTGGAATTACCTAAAGATTCTTTGCTTTGAGAATGTTTCCTAATCTTTTTATTATTTCATTGTCATATTTTGTGCTAGTCCTCACTGACTCAGGGAGATAACAGGGTACAAGGAGTGGATACAGGAAACAAATTGTACTCAGAGCAGTTAATGATAGTCTAATCAAGATGTCATAAAAATACATACAGGTGTTGAGGTAAGAGCTGTCTTCTAAACCTGCTGGCTGTGTCATCAACCTGCTGAATTGTATTCTATTGCTAATGAACTTAGATTAGGACCATCCCCATGACACATGCTTTATATTATTAGTTTTCCTCCACTACACTATTATCTTTTTATATTTCAACAGTGATTCAGAATGTTACTCACAGAGCTTCGACTAAATCACCAGATAAACCTCCCTTTGGAGGAACGATACTGGGTAAGTCAATCTTGAAACCTATGCCTAGAATAAGCAACTCAAACTGTTTTGTGCTCATAGTGCTCTTATGGCCTATGAGCAGTGCTATACTAATGTGGATTCATTTCCTTTAACTATTGAACACCCTGGCTTATGTCTGTTACAAGCTAAGAGCCAAGAGACACTAGTTTTATCATAGTGTGCTAAAGAAATAGCTCTAGCCTATTCCCATGGATGTGGTGGCATCTAACCCCTCAGCCAATGGGGTTGTTTGTAGTTCTAAAGGAGTCTTTCTCATTTTGAACTGCTCTTTTAAAAATCATTATCATTGATAATGATGTTCTTTGTTCACCACACATCTGGAGGAGCTATTTTATAATTTGGGAGTCTATAAATGAAAGTCAAGAGCATTTCAGTAGTTCAGTTCTAAATATGAAAAATATTCTGTTTCAAAGCTATAATTGTATTTTCCCAATTTTTTAAATTTGGGCATAAAATAATAACATAAGTGCCAAGATTCATAGTCTTGAATGTGATACTCTGAACTTTATGTCATGATGTATGTTCTTCCTCTATCTTATTTCCATCTGTTTCTTTGCAGTCCACCTTATTATTCCGGGTCTTAATGAGACTGCTGTAAAACTTCCTTCATCCATAATGCTTGAGATTTCAGATGCACTCAGGGCACACTTGGGTAAGAAGCAAAATTTTATATTTGGACTTAAATTCTTGAGTATGAGAATTGGTATTCTTGGACCAACCAAAGAATCTTGCAATTGAAGTTCTTATTGATTGGAAAGAAAAAAGTAGGGCAAGGAACTTGGAACATTAGGGTTATTTGTACAAATTCTACTCTGTAGGAAGTTATTTTATATTGATATAAATCATATGAATATATCTACATCTATGAAAGAATAGTGAATATGAAATTATCCAATATATACTCATTTGTATATGTACAATTTTCAAAATCAGAAGTTGTTATAAATTATATGCAATGTAATGTTCTCTCAAGGGGTGATTAGATATTATCAATGACAACTGACATAAAGGTCAGATATATTAGAATAATTATTCTCTTGAGATTGATACTGCTTTCTAGAAAGAACTGGATCTGATTTAATGTTTTTAAAAACCAGGCCTAATTTTTTAAAGAAAACCAGCAAAATCCACTAAAAAGCAGCCCCAAGAAATAATTGTGGTGTTCACTGGACTGAGTTAGTTGCTACATTTGAATATCAAGTTGGGCTCTGAATTGCCATAGTCGATGAAGCACTAGAAGCCCCTGGAGTACTCTCTTGCACACAGGATGCTAGGATGTACCCTATACATTACTGATTCAGCATGTTTGGGAAGACATCCAGGGTCTACATGGTTAACAAATTTCCAGACAATGCAGACAATGCTGGCCCCGTTACCACACTTTGAGAACCTCTTCTCTTGTGTCTCTGAAGAATGTCCAGCTTTGCGAGTGAAGATAGTAGAAAATAGGAAGGTGTGATGAAAATGGAATAAGATATAAAAAGGATATTTTGGAGCTAGGTTCTGACTAGGAGGTTAGCATTTATACATAAATTAATTAAAACACTTTGTAGATAAAGAAACAATGTCTGTTGTCCCAGTTTAGCAACATGAACTTAATAAATACTTTGTAAGCACTACTTCTTGCCAGAATTATAAATTCCTTGAAGCTCTAACAAGTTAGACAAACATAATTCTGTACACACCAGAACTTCAGAGAAGGTATGTAAGGTTGTTAAGAATTAAATGGATGCTTCTTTGGTCTAAACAGAGGGGAAGTGACAAATGAGATATAGCAAAAAGAATTGTAGTCAAGAAAATCCTATGGAAGGTAATCACACCCTGGGATCTAAGGTGGGCAGAACTCCAGCCAGCCAGGAATTTCCTTTCGGTTATGAAGAGCACATCTTCTGGGAAGATCCTGTTGTTGTTCCTGGTAAAGTACTCCACTCAGAAACTGATCACCGAGACCCAGTCCTAGCCCAGGTCCGGTGAGTGTGCGGAGAGTTTCCTGCTACCCTGCGCCGGCGGGACCAGTCCCAGCCCAGGCGCAGCGTGGACCGGACCCTCTCCCATCCCCTCGGGCCGCCCCCCACCACTC